GGGCTGAACGGTGTGCTGAACATAGCTGTCGACCAAGCGTGTTCCTTTGCGGCCACCGTTGCGTTTGCTACGATGGTTGCTTTTCATTACGGTTGGGATCTGTCGTGTTGCATTTCTGGGAGGTGATGTATAATGAGTGGCAGTCGGCCGCATCGAAATCGAAGGCGCCCAATGTGACGATCCCACCCACGTCCTGTCAGCCACCCGACAGCCCTATGTTCTGCCCCGAAGCGTTTCACCACTCAACTCAGTGAGTGGATGAGTGGTCACATTCCACGCTCCTCCCCCAGTGACTATTGCTAGGTCATTGCAATGGTCGTGAGCTTTATGCATCAACAATGAGTGTTAACCAAAATTCTAAATTCAGCTGTAGTCCTGTGCGGATGAGGCTAGCGGCCACCGTATTCACGCCGTCCCCACCGGTGAAACTGAGGGCAGCTTCTCATGCCAGGCCGGCTTCATCCCTCACGTGAGATTGCGTGGGGGTTTTATCCGTGCCGCCACTGAGTCATCAATCGTTGTAAAGCAGGAGCCATTGTATATTCACGCATTTGTCGGCGTGGGTGTTTGCGGTGCCATTTCCTCCGAGTCGGCAAAGCTGGCTTAAACTTGGCAGAAAATTCGAGCATTAAACGCCTCCGTTCCCGGCAACGGCTGACACCAATAACGCCGGATCAGTCCTCCAGCGACCGTAGAATATCCACATCGATGACAGCGGATTCTCGTGTCTAGTTCGAGTGCGTCGCTCTACATCTCCGATCCAGTTTCCTCCAATGCCTAAAGGATCACACAGACTGGCTAGCCGCCGGCCCTCAATGCATAATCAATCCAGTTACTGTGCAGCAGAAAGCACTCGAACGTTCGCAGGACCGCACGGACGCGGGGCGTGGTAAAACAAAGCCACGCTTTGAATTCGTTGGGAAAAATGTCACTTTTGGTGCCCTTCGGATTACAACTCTTTGGAGCCAGGAATCGTCACTTCAGGGCTCTTAGGCATTGATGTGGAAACCGAGGGGGGGGGGGAGGGGAGGGGTTAGCGGGCCCAGCCTCCCATCTTTCTGACAATTTAGCGTTGACCTCATGAGGTTCACTAGAAAGAAGTTGCTAAAAATGGCTATGCCCCCCCCCCCTCCGACTTGACCTGACAGATCTGACAGCACAGGGGCCAGTCGAAGTCGTCTGACACCTCCCGGGTGTGTCGCAGCCCCCCTCCCCCCTCCAGAGATTGGCTGTCAGACCACTCGCCGCCCTTCCGCCGTCATCGAGAGGCCGAGGGACAGCTCGCCGATAGCGTGACGGAAGGCCGTCGAGCAGCGGGCGCGCTTGCCGACGAGGTCAGGGGAATGGAATGGGTGATGTTGAGAGCATTCGAGTGGCTGCGGCATCTCGCCGAAGTTCTGGTGTTAGACGCACTGCAGCGGACCAGTTGCGACAGAACGGGCCGAGTCACGATGAGACAGAGAAGTTTCGATGGACCAAAAGCCGACCCTTGGCTGGTGACCCCCTGCTCTAGCTTCGAAAGCAACAACTCGAGACTTACTACAGTTTTAGACGTGTCTTAAAATTCTTCTGAGTCATGCTCATAACGTTGTGCTGAAACCGAGTGATCATTCTTAAACCGGCCACAAACAGCAAACGATTTCAACAGCGCACATCGTTTTGACACAGTCCTGACTGAGTCCACTTGGAAAAAGTACGCCATGTATGCATAACTGACGGGCAGCAAAAGCACGTCCATAGTGACGTGCGTGAAGTATTTCCCGTGTTACCATGCTTTCGCACAGACGGCATCGAAAGTTCGGCTGTCAGCAACAGGATTTGAATGAGATGAGTGAGAGCGATATCTTCAACCTTGGCATGATTCATTCGAGGACTCTCGTTTTAATTCATCGTGACCTCATAAGTCGCAGCGTTGCGCTATTCACGCCCTGAATAGCGCAAGGGAAGACTAACGCAAGAAAATAGGCTTTAGCATTAAAAGAGGCTGTTTTGAACGGGAAAAGGTAGCGGAGGAGCCCCTTTAATCCAACCATCGCTAAAAATGGAATACGTCTTAGGTTAACTGCCGGTGCCTGGGTGACGGTGCATTTATGCTGATACTTGGCAAACGGCTGCTCAGCGACATAGTCCTACTCATGCTCATGTGTACGCTGCGCTGTGTGTTGATGATGCGCGTAAGCGCGCCACGCCAAAATGCCGAAAAAATATTGAGTCGTCGCCATTCATTGTCGCTCGCCTCTGTAGTGTGCCCGGACACCTGAGGACCTCTAAATAGTGTGCCCGGACGCCTGAGGACCCCTAAATAGTGTGTCCGGACACCTGAGGATCTCTAAATAGTGTGCCCGGACACCTGAGGACCTCTAAATAGTGTGTTTGGACACCTGAGGACCCCTAAATAGTGTGTCCGGACACCTGAGAATCTCTAAATAGTGTGCCCGGACACCTGAAGACCTCTAAATAGTGTGCCGCGGGCACCTGAGGACCTCTAGATAGACAACAGACGCCGGAGGCCTGTGGATGCGCCTCGGAGCTGAGCCTATCGGCAGTAAATCGCTTGCCTGCGTCGCAAGCATGCATGCATGCATCACAAACATAGAAAAACGTGTTTGGAACAGCAGCGGCTGATATCTTCACCCGGTGTTGCTATTGGGGCTTCTCGACGCACTTACAGTTCAGGCCGTGCGAGTGGCACTTCCGTCCATTGAAAAGCATGATTACCCAATGTAGAAACAAAAAAGGCGCCGAATAGGTACCTCCATATAAAACGTGACGAGTTCCTGCATTTGCATGGACCAGCTATTACCCGATGTAAGGGGAAAATGGAAGTCCTAGTCCGTCATCTGTAAAACCGTTGACATAAATAGTCTATTTCAACACAGCCGTCAGGGCAATATTGTTGATAAATATGACATATGGGCTCATAAATATGTCGACAAATACATATGTTAAGTTAGCCTAGCTGTTTTCCGACAAATACCGTACAACATGCTCGTGAAATTGATAGGTTCTTACGCTACTGTACATAGACATCTAACATCAAACCTGTAACTGCTTGAGTGAAAGTACTCCTGTAGCATTTCACAAATGCTGGAGCAGAAATTTGGTAGCAATGTGTGGCGTCAGCCTTGAGCCTTAGAAACATTTCATAAGCACAAATACGCCAATCCATGCATCTCCTTGACAGCAGTGTGTCTTACAACGACGCAACAGTCAAACTGCACAACTAGTCGAACGTCCATCCATGGATTGCTTAAAATACGCGAGCATTTCATATACTAAACAATCGATATCATATCTAATCCTGACAGCCCCTATTAGGCTCGACCATAAGCTGAAGTTCCGCCGGCCGCCGACAGGTGTCAGTCGTGTCCTAGCGCCGAGCCCTGCCGCACGCGACGGGCGGCTCAAAGGTGAGAGGACTCTCCCTCTTCGCGGAACGAGACGCGGGGCGGCACCGGGGCGATCGGTCTGAGCAGCTGCGGCAGTCGTGTGGCGCTCCAGCGGCGACGCAGGAACTGCACGGTGGCTCGGCGCTGTGGGTCAGGAGCGGGCCGCGGCCGGAAACGCGCCGCCGCCAGCGTGGCGCGCCGCTCGCCGTCGGTGGCGGCCGTGCGGCGCCGCGCCGTCGACGCCACGCGCAGCAGTCGCAGGAGGTCGCCCAGGTTGGTAGTGGTGGTGCGCCGGTGGCGGTCGTGGGTGGACTGGGGACGCTCTGGCCGATCGGGTTGCGGCGGCCGGCGCGGGAACACGCCCGGCAGCAGGCTCGGCCGATTGGTCCAGGCCTGACCCAGCCGATGCCAAACGCTGGCGCGGCGCTCCTGCCCGCCGATCGCCGTCTCCGCCTCGGCGGCGTGCTGCGCGGCGGCGCGAGCGGCGCTCGAGTCCGACCTGCTGTCCGTGCTGTCCGTGTCCCACTCGAGCGTGACGGTGGCTTGCAGCAGCACCTCGAGCGCCGAGTCGACCGACAGCAGCTGCGCGGCCTGCGGCGCGGCGCCGTCGCCGTCACCGGCTTCCGCCGCTGCCGCCACAGCTGCCATCAGGTCATCAGCAGCGACGGCCGAGAGCAGCGGCGCGGCGAGCCCCTCGCCGCCGGGCTCTGGCTCCGGCCCTGGCTCCGGCGCCGGATCCTGGCCGCTGGCCGACGGCTCAGTCAGCTGGGGCTCTGACCCGGCCCGGCGCAGCGGCGGCGGCTCGGCGGCGGCCTCCTCGACCAGCGCGTCATCGCCGCCGCCGCCGCCGCCGCCGCCGCCGCCCACCGACACCAGATTCGGAAAGCTCTGCGTGCGGACCAGACTGCGCACAGCGGCAGGCGGTTTAGCGACCTGTAACAGGTTGGAGTGGTGACATGTCTTGGCGGGGTGGCATATACCACCGGCGCCACGTATACGGGGCGCCGGCGGTGGTCGAGGCCAGTTATTTTGCGGAAATGAACCGGACGCAACGAACACATTTCGGCACTAAATGTTGGAACTGTACTGGATTTTACAAAGTTGGTGCAGCCGTTGCACGCTTACACATCTGCCACAACACATTTTCCAGCCAGTGTAGTGGTGGGTTTGTTTGAAACAGAACCGCGCACAAACAGGAAATACAACAGTGACTGGATCCCACGCTCTGGGCATTTTTAACCGTTTGCAACTCAGTCGCTCCCAACGTCTGACTGAGGCACTCTGCACATTGGGGGAGGTTCTTAGCCTGTGAGTTTTTACAGACTCCCATGAAGCATAACCACGGTGTTCATCAGATAGCTACAGTTTATTTTCTTTCACAGAGCAATTACCGGTCAATCCCACGCCAGAGGCACCGGAAGTCACACTTACCTCTCTCCTGTTGAATGCCAGCTCGTTGAGAATATTTTTAATCTGCAGGACTTCCTTCGATATGTTCCGCTGGAACTTCTCCTTGGTTTTCGTGATGCCCCGGATGACCTTCTTCTCAAGAGTCTTCAGAAGAGCAAAACATATCAGTAATGGACTTCCGCAGAAAGTGTCTGGTACTGAACACCCAACATACAGCTGAAGAGCAGATACGATGCAGCATATATGTAGGATATATATATATATATATATATATATATATATATATATATATATATATATACGTCAGCACAACAGGTGACAGAACGTGTTAGCGCGGTACCAAAACATTTTGACGTTCCTTCTTTCCAAGCGTCGCCATACGATTAATGTTTAGCATTCTCGGAAACATGCCGCCACGGCACTCATGAGAGCCACTCCTCTTCTTTCGCCTGTGCTCAACTGCGTCTCACCATTCGCGGCGCGGGCACAACTAAATTTTGTACACTGAAAATCCGTTTAGCGCGATTGCGGTGCGCGATATTCCCGCGCGAGGTAGAACCAAATTGCGTATTTTTGATCTGTTCGGGTTGACGTGTCTACCTCGAAAAGCTATTTGTCAACATGTTTTCACGCACACATTAATAAGACAAGAAATTGGATAAGGGGGAGAGGTGTGCGCCGATCACGGGAGGGGGGGGGGCTACATTAGCACGCGCCCATTATGGGGGCCACGATTCAATTGCGCCACGGATTATGGTCCACACCAACTGGGTTCGTATCTTGGCACCGACCAGGTGAGAACGTCAGGAAAGGCGAGCAAAGCTTCCTATTCTCGTGTTAAAACAAATGCCCTCCTTCACGATAATGCATCCAATGTCACACGACAAACGTCGTTGATGAAAACCTGAGTTAGATTTCATAGATCCACTCTACGAAAACAAAGTCGAAAACAGTTTCGTACATGCACAGTAGATACATTTTATTTGCATGCGTCGACAACCTTCAGCCTACCGGGAAAAGCAGCATTGAGATGTTTGTCATCTCGTCAAAATGAGTGTGTTCTTATGCACACCAAAAATACATTCAACACGTAATCGCGTACCATGCAATACACAATAAGATAGTTTGGCCTTCCAGGTGCGGGCGGAAAATGCAAAGGTGCACAATCGCACGGAAGTACGTTCAAAACTGAAGCTGAAACGTGCACGTCTAAATTAAATGAACAGTAGTGCATGCACCATGATAATCACTACAAAAACACACCCACACTCGCGGGCGAAGCCCGCATTTTTGTGTTGCAAACGCGACATAGACACCCCTGGCCCACATTTTTGTGCTGCAAACGTGACACAGGCACCTCTATATAGCTGTGAATAGACTCACCATCAGTCTCCTGGAACGCAGCTGTGTATTATGGATATTTTCAGATACTGTACACACGCCGAAGATGCATCATGCTCGGCACAATATCATTTTAATAGACGCATCCCTTGCATGCTGTGGTGGCGAGGTTTGCAAAACTTATGAGAAAATAAACGTCAAATGCATATTACAGGATAACTGGGTGCGCATGCTCATTGTAAACTAAGACAGACGCCTACTGGTCAGGTACGTGAACAAGGCTATCAGTTAAATAGGACTTAAGACCAGGCAGCTCCGTGGGAACCTTTGACACGTTTTTGCAGCGTCTAAATATTGAGCTATCCTCATTTGCTAAAGGTTGACTCGCTGCTGTACTGTTGAGACTATACTGTTAGATCTGAAACCATATTAACAATGCGGGAGGGAGTCCTGATTCACGTATTCTACCAAGGACAGAACATTTATGCCCATTTACACCGCATCGTGCGCTTTACCGATGCGTTGACATTCATTGTACTCTCCCAAGCCAAAAATGCAACAAGAGGTTACTCGCTATCTGCTAAAGCAAAACGAAAAAATCATCAGGACCATCATCAACGCATTCTCAGGATGAATTGAAGCGAGATCATGAGCTATCACTCATTGCGCCGCTAGCTATGGTAGTCATAGTAGCTACTGATTCGAGCAAGCCAGCATTGCAGGAACCACTGAATGCCACCTACCAGGATTTTCTTCGAGTACAGCGCTCGTGAAATGAAATCGAGGATCATCAGCAGGTAGCCGAGGCCGAAGATGATCCACACCACCAGTCCGATCTTGTAGATCCAGATCCAGGCCGACGCGTCTTCCGCGTCATTGACCTTGCCTGCCGGCGGAGCGACATCAGTGACGTCACACCTTGCCGGACGACGGCAGCGATCACGCGGCATGCATGTCGTTGACATGGAGCTGATTTTGGCCGCCTTGTCTTCGCGCCGTCGCCGACGTCTGCCCGGGTTTCTGGCGTGTCTGACGCGCGCAGTGTTCAGAACGTTCAGTGTTCGGACGCGGGTGACAGCATTCCTGCCAGCCTGGTCAGGGCAGCGGCGCGGGCTGGCGACGTGCGCGGAGGGACGTGATGCTTCCACACTGCTGCCATTGTCAGGCCAGACGCGGTGACAGACTCTCTGTCCGCGCCGAGCCGGTGGCCATCAGCCGCCGCTGACGGCGGGGCCTCATCAGAGCTGATGAGGTTCAAACAAATCTGCGTATTGGACCACTAAAGAACCATATCCGTAGGGCCGATCCTCGTCTGCGTGCGCCACCAAGAGTGCTGGACGCGTTTGTGCTGCCAACTCACTCACGAGCAAGTGGGTGACTTCAGGGCGAGCGAATGATTGCGACCTGTACGCACTCAGCTCCTGCGGATGGTTGCGAGCTGTACGCACACAGCTCCTGCGAATGATCGCGAGCTGTACGCACACGGCTCCCATTCCGCATCACCGGCGGACAATACGAGCGCTCATCTGCGAACAGCAGCGAGGGAGAAAACCAGCCACGATTCACTCAGGAAATGGAATCCTCTGCGCTTGGCGGTGCCCGGTGAGGTGAGTAAGCAGTTTCGGTGAGATCATATGTGACGAGATGAGATCAGCGGCCGAAGTTGCGGCTGTGCGAACTCGTTACCTATAGGCACGTGTTTAATTGATATAACGTCTTTGATGTTGAAATGGGTGAGACAGCCCTAGGTGGGGCTGCAAACAACGGCGACCACCCTTCCATTTGGAGACCAGTGTAATCCGATGGGTTCAGTTTCACGCGATTAGAAACAAAGCCAAGTGAAATCCGATATGCCCAGACAGGATTGATCTAAGCAACGCGGGACCAGCTGTAATTCATGTGTGCTATATTTTCAGAATGAAGCCAGGAATTAACTATCGCCCAAGAACAAAGCCTTCGCAGGTGAAACACTGTGTCCTGGTTAGGCCGAGACTTGCTGATTCGGTTATCTTGACGGCATTGGTGATCCATTTCCTGTCGATCAGGCCGCCTGCTGATTCAGTTATCGTGACGGAGTTGTGGTTTATCCCCTGCCCACTAGGCTTTGCAGGCCTGGCCGCCCGGCGCGCCTCCTCTCAGCGCTCCCGCCCGCGCAGTGACGGCGGCCGCGCTGGGGCCCGGCTACCCGCCCCGCGCCGGATGTTGCCTTACCCTGCGGCCATATCCTGGAACTGTCTGTCCCCGACGAGCACCGCCTCCACACGCGGCCTCAGCTCATCTTGAGCTTCGAGCATTAAAGGTCAGACAAGTCTGCGTGTAACCGTAAAAACACCTTTAATCGCTCGCGTTGTCTGTGTACTGATGACCCGAGCTAACTGCGCTGTCTCGACCTTTTTTAGTACCCAGCCGACGATACAGTGCTTGCTTACGTTACTCTCACAGATCAAACAGGCGGTATTTCAGTGCCACTGGGGCCTTACACATTCTGGATCACGTCCGACCACTCACGGCCTGGCTAAGCTACTGTTTGCGGTTGACCCAGCTATTAAGCCCTCTCCTAAGCTGACCCAGTGATTAGGTCACTTCTCTAGACTGCCTCGGTGACAGCCAGCAGTTCAGCCCGACCAGAACATGCCGAATCGCCGTGAGGCCGATCAGGTCAGCTGCCTCAGCAGCGGCTCACACAGACCGGGTGTGAGCGGCGGAACACGGCATCTGGCAACGCGCGTGACAGGCTAACGCAACACAGCATCTGGCAACACGCATGACAGGCTAACGCAACGCGGCATCTGGCAACACGCATGGCAAGCCGACGCAACACGGCATCTGACAGCACACATGACAGGCTGACGCAACGCAGCTGACAAGCTGGCACAACACAGTATCTGACGACACGCGTGACAAGCATCTGGCAACACGCGTGACAGGCTGACGCAACACGGCATCTGACAACACGCATGACAAACCGGCGCAACACGGCATCTGCCAGCACACATGACAGGCTGACGCAATGCAGCTGACAAGCTGACACAACACGGTATCTGACGACACGCGTGATAAGCTAACGAAACACAGCATCTGGCAACACGCATGACAGGCTGAGGCAGCACGGCAACTGTCAACACGCATGACAAGCCGACGCAACACAGTATCTGGCAACACACATGACAAGCCGACGCAACACAGTATCTGGCAGCACGCATGACAGGCTGATGCAACATAGCATCTGACAGCACGCATGACACAGCACCGGACAAACTGGTTTTGCTTGTCGAATGTCAGTGCGGCACGCCGACTGTGACCGCCGCGGTCATATTGTGTTGACTATGCTCAAACACATTTGCATAAATTTCGAACCGAACAAATTGCATTACGCCTGCAAGCATACAGGAAATGGCTCCTTGACAAGGATTTGTGCCAGGCTACCTCCTTTAAGATGGCAGCGTAGTGGTTTTTGGGGAGGGCTACCTCACTGTTTCACTGAGGACTTCTAAACATCGATATTTGTTTTTAACTCAGCTTGCTGAAGCGATTAAGTGGCACTGTAAGATCAACACTCATTGGCTGTCCCGAGCGCAAATCGCAAAGCACGCGTAGACGCGTGTCTTACCACATAAGGTGATCATTTCCAAGCATTGAACGTTGCATAACTCAAATGTTGTGGGTCTGTATTCGAAATGCCCAGTTCGTTTTTGTTGTTGTCGTTTTTTTGGTTGTGGGTGTCAGCACTGGGCTGTGGTGTTGTTAAGATGTTACTTATCAAAGACACCTGGAAACGACGTGGATAAGTTGAAAGTCTGCGTTACATAAACGCACCGTCCCATTCAAGGCATGCTAGTGCGTTTGTGTAGTTAAATGATATTCTGTCCCCACCCGACAACTTCCGCGCTATGTCAGCACAGCTGTTGGCAATTCTCCGGCAGATCATAGGTGCACCTTCGCGTCGCCCAGCTCTGACATCTGTTCGCTGCGACCGGCACATTCGGCTACACCGTACAGCTGGACTTCGCGCTCTGCCCTGGCCTGCACCGGTTGCTGAGATCCGCCAAGGATTCGCCAAGGTTGCTGAGATCCGCCAAGGGGGGATGTGTGGTCCACGCACGAGAGCGCGTAGCCGTCTGCACACATCGGCCCGCACTCGGCAGGATTTAGTGTCCGTCCTCTCCGCTGTCAGAGCGGTCAGTTTCGTGCCGCTGCCACCTTGGGTCGTCGACATCTGGACCCGGTTTCGACCCGTGTCTCCCAGTTTGTTCACAATTTTGGGGTTAAATGTGAACTTTGCGCTTTTTAATCGGGGAAAAGGTAAAATTATGGTGAGTTTGCGAAATTGGGTGAAAAAACACACCGCTCAAAGATGTCACGAGCAAAAAGTTAACGATAAATAGTTTAACTTTAAATAATTGCCCTTGCTACTGCTGGGAGCTGCACGAACGTGCTCCCAGTGATTACAAGGATGTTTCGCCCTAGAAAGCGTGACGGCCGGTCCGATTCAGGCCGCACAAGTTCAAAGTTTTTATCATCGGTAAGGTATTGCGGGCTGTGGCCTCGAACGTACTGAAAGACGAATGCATGCAAAATCGCCAAGAACAGAGACTGAGACTGCCGAGATGAGACTGCCAGTTCCGGTCTTACCCAAGAGTATCACAATGCCGTGACGCACCACCCTGTGAGTAGGGGCCAGACAGCGGCAAAAACACGCCCGCCAGAAACACCTGTGTCCTACTGCAACCCGCACACGGGAGGCAACGCCACTACGTCACCGAAGGCTTTGTCCCTCATCACTTTTCGCCTGTGGCGTCGGTCACGACGGTGCTCTGGAGACGCGGATGAAGTGCGCGCTTCACCTGCTACGAGATCGCCGAATCCGATGGTGGTGAGAGTGATGAACGTGTAGTAGATGGCCTGGAAGAAGTTCCATTCCTCCAGCATGATGAAAATACCTGCGAGAAGCAGTTGACCTTACTATCACGGCCGATGGCGGGGTAAGATGAGGGATAGGGGGCCAGTTGACGGACCAGATGATGGTAGGAGTCAGGCGATGTATCAGATCATGAGTAAGGGTCAGTTGACAGGTCAGATGATGGGTAGATACCAAATGACGGATCAGAGGATGGGTATGGGGCAGACAACAGACCATATCACGGATCACATCATGGGTAGGAGCCAGATAAGTGGTCATATGACGGGTCAGAAGGTGGGTAGGGGTCAGATGACACGTCAGATGACGGCTAATATGACAGGCCAGATGATGAGTAGAGATCAGATGACAGGTTAGATAATGGGAAAGGGTCCGATGAGGGTCATATGATGGATCATATGGTTGGTATAGGTCAGATAAAGGGTTATATGACGGGTCAGATGATGGGAAGGGGTCAGACGACAGGTCACATGACGGGCCACATAACGGATCATATGATAGGCAGATATCAAACGACATGCCAGACGACGGGTCATATGGCGGGTCATATGACGGGTCAAATGATGGGTAGCGGTCAGATGATGGGTCAGATGATGGGTAGCAGAGCGAGAGCTCCGCCGGCACCCGCGCCAGCCTCGCCGTGTTGGCAGCGGCTGACGTTCGGGTCACCACCGCCCTGCGACGCCTGGTTTACCGGGGTTATCACGCCTGGCTGCAGTCATGCGTCCTGGTAGCAGGCTTCAAGCACCGCCAATTGTCCGTTTTCGTCACAAGGATCAGGATTTTGAGACGTTTGATGGTCATACAAGATAGGGAACACCCGTTTGTACGGTTGCAAAAAAGTGGCAAACATGGGCATCGAATCGATCGGTGGAACAGTGCAATTGTTCACAAAGAATACGCGGAATACTCCTCAGAGCAAAACAAGATTGTTGACATTTAAAACACCATTGACTTCCATTGATCTTCATGAAGTCATAGCAATAAATCACTGGTCGTCCTAGCGATTCAGCAACTCGAAATGAACGTTAAAATCCACCTCTAACGCAAGTTTTCCAGTAAAAATGTGGTTTGGTTGTGACCTCAATCTGACCTTCATATCTCACTAAGGTCAATGAAGTTAAAAATAATCCCAATATGATTGTATTATTTTCTAAGGAACCATCTCAAAGTTGCATGATTTCGTCCACCATCTGTTGTTGCATCATGTTGAACGATTCCGTAGGAAATGCCTTCGCTGACCTGCATAGCCTGCCATCGATCTGCTGTAAGTCAACAACCATGTATAATGACCTTGCGAGACATCCTGAATTCTTCTACACCAAAAGATCGGACCTTCCAACTCCTACAGCTACACAACGACTGGCGGCGGTTACGCATCCCCCTTCGGAAGTTATTTTGGTAAACCTCTTGTGGGGAGTGTTCAAACTGAGCCCCCCCCCCCCTTCGGGCGCGTGTTAAGCGCGCGCTATTCCCAACAACCGCTGCACCGCCGAGCCACTTACCGGCCGGAACGAGGAAGAACAGCAGCACAGCCGGCGACAGGTAGAATAGCGTGTCGACAAACACCTCCAGCTTGGTCTGGTACCGACGCTCCTTAATCCGCTGGTGCGCCCGGATTACCTGGACGGGTCGGGCCGGTTCTGGTCAGGTCAGGTCAGGTTAAGTCAGGTCGGGTCGGGTCGCGTCACGCTGCCTCACAGCAGGCGAGCGCCATGCTTCTATCGATGGGCATTGTGCCTGGTAATCGGTTCTCAGTCAATCCGGCCCGACTTCGTTCCACATTTATGAAAAAAGTCACAGATGGGCCCCGAGCCGACCGGTGGTTATTAGGTGACGACGAATGGCGCGCAGCCTGATAGCACGGAACGAGTTTTCATGAGTAAGCCGTAGCGGTCTTGACGCGAAACAGCCTGTGCGATCAGTCGCGATGAAACTGCTGTCAATCACCTATCCAAGCATTTGACATGTGTGAAGGCGGTATCAGTTACTTATCCAGGCATTTGACATGTGTGAAGGCGGTATCAGTTCCATATCCAGGCATTTGACATGTGTGAAGGCGGTATCAACCACTTATCCAGGTATTTCACATGTGTGATGACGGCATCAGTTACATATCCAGGCATTTGACATGTGTGAAGGCGGTATCAGCTACATATCCAGGCATTTGACATGTGTGAAGGCGGCATCAATTACTTATCCAGGCATTTTACATGTGTGATGGCTGTATCAGTTACATATCCAGGCGTTTCACATGTGTGATGGCGGTATCAGTTACATATCCAGGCATTTCACATGTGTGATGGCGGTATCAGTTACATATCCAGGCATTTCACATGTGTGATGGCGGTATCAGTTACATATCCAGGCATTTTACATGTGTGAAGGCGGTATCAGTTACACACCCAGGCATGCAATTGTTGTGTCAAAAGACATTCTGAAAGAGATATTGGTAAAATTGTTAATACCAAGGTGGATTCGAAATACTCAGGAGTACTGGAGCACACACATGCACATGCCACATTTAAATACCGACGCCAATACCCACGAATCCACTTAACCGGTTCTCATCTGTAAATATGCAACAAATACGGTGTTGAATGCTTTGTTGTTTCATCATAAAAATACCTGTCCAAGTCAGATGTTCTGCACCTCTTTAAGGTTGTGAGACCGCGAGATAGCCTGTATCTTGACTTGCGGCCAGAACAAGCTCTGTAGAAATCAAGTTCAGACCTGTCACATTTCCGTGGGTCGGAACCAAAGTTGACACTAAACTGGCGTGCGCTGCAGGCCGTATGAGCAAGGTCGACCCAGCCCGAGGCTATTCGGAGCGCAGGTCTGCTGCTCAAGGCCGCCTGCAGCTGAAGGGATTTCTGTGGTTTTACAGTGCTGATCAGTAGCACGACTCGCATCTGGTGGACAGTATCGGAAGGATACTCATGAATTTCCTTGTATCTGAAGGATGCCCGTGCTGGCATCTTTAACCGGAAACAGGAATGCAGTTTCCTATTCAAGTGCGGGGGGACTCCATCCCCTCACACCCATCTTTGAGAAAGACGAGAGTCAAAATCGTGGATGTGCCCGCTTGTTGGCGTATTTTGAGGCGGATTTCCTCGTTTTTCGTACTCTGACCCCTTTCCTAAACTCATTTCCCGAAGCTATATACCCCTGCCTGAGAGATTTCATTCACGCCAGGGCCTGGGAGCTATTGGTTGTCTGCCCGCGGGTATTCAAATCAAAAAACCACTGAATACAGTTTGACCGGCGGTGCGTAAGGTGGTGGCCAAATGACGGCTCTCTCGGAACGCTCACAGTTTGACTGCTATCCAGAGGAAGTGTTAATGTGTTCCTAAATTATGGATATGGCCGCTCAGCAATTGTCTCCGCATTGCTCCCGCTGTCCAACGTCCAGCACTAGAGAGCATGACTGCATCATTTCCATTAAAAATCGCTCTATAACAAAATTTGTCTGCAAAATTGGAAACCTGGTCGTGTGTCATTGCATGTGCATGCGTGATATTTTCAATTGGTTTGTGTCATGGCGTGTTTCAAACCATAATGAATTACAACTAACATGTGTGTTCTTTTGCCGCCTGATGATGCAACGGTTGTTATGTGAAACACGTTTCGGGCTAATATCATCATATATATGTATGTATATATAGGACAGCAGTCGCTATCATCAAAGCAGCATTCAGCGTGACGGCTATCAAAAGCTTAACGGTCAGGAAACAGACCCTGTTTCCTCATTGTGCAGGTAGTGTCCTCATGACTATGCCTGCGCGTATCAAACAAGTGGCCGATTCAGAGCTTTGTATGCCTTTTTACCTGTTTGTTTCCATGTCTTAGCGTAGGCGTAGGAACGTGTCAAAAAACTGGTGGGAGGGGAGGGGGGGGGGGGCTGAGCTCAGGGCTATTTCAGGAACTTTTCTTGAAAGCAAGCCCGATAGCCAGGGGGGATGGGTAGAAATGGAGGTTGTTGTCGCTTTTTATTCAGATGTCATGGCTGCTGTGCTAGATATGCATCTGGAGTTGTTCCGCACTGTAGCACAATCTTGCCTAATCGACTCATCTATGTCATTCGGCAAATAAGACTATCTAGCTTCCCAAGACTATTCGTTAATTTCAACATTGTCTTTCCTAAGGAGGCGAAATTGCACTAGCGGGTAGGCATTTGGGGTCATTGATGAGGCATCTGTCTCCACAGAGTAGATGCCAAAATATGACCTGGGCATAGGCTGGTGAGAATTTTGAAAGTGAATCGATGCCTAACAATGCGACAGATTTGGCATGCGTCTTCACTTCGCTGGCCGCTTTTCAAGAGATAAGGCTTGTCGCGGCATTTCAGGCGGAAACAGGTTCGGAAGCTTGAAACAGCAAAAAACAATGTGACAAAAGCCATCAAACTGGCGATTCCCCTTCTGTCATATATCCCTTATCTGAGCCCTGCCCCCCCCACCCCCCGCCGTCGGCAGCCACTGCCCTAAGCTGACTGTCTCCCGCATAACTGACTGCAAACTGGTCGTACGGCTGCTTTATTGCATATTTCTGGATCACAGTTACTACTAATTGGCGTGTAAAACATATGCTGGACGCCTGCAACATTATTTTTTCCAAATTATTTCCTCTTGCACTGCACCATCCCAGAAAAAAAACTCCGAGAAGCTGCCTACCTTTGGTATGAATTAGCCCATCGGACATTTCATTGCCCAGCATTCAACATACACCACTTGGTCTGCTTTTGTGTGAAGGCGGGGTCGTAGCCAGAGCTTTGCTAAGAGAGAACACAGGGTTGACAACAGCCCCTCTTATGGTGACCCCCCCCCCCCAAACAAAATTCCTGGACATTGCCCGCTTGTTAACATGGGATGCGGTTTTCTTCGTTTCGTCGTTATTTTTACCTTGTAACCAGAACAGAAACCAGACGCTACCGTGAGACAAATCTGATTATATTTTGCAGTTAATAAACTGCAGACATCAGGTGTTGAACGACCGCATGGAATAAATCAGCGGTGCCCTTAATTTACAAAGGCTTAGTGGACTCTTTATAAGCCAATAGAGTTCAGAAGCTCTGTCAGAATGTTTTATCTAGGGGCTACAGACATTACATCATCATCGCGAAAATCTTACATCGCGAATATCTTAGTAACAACTCGGCACCGGGCGTTGCAGTCTCCTTAGTCCGCGGAGCGAGAGCCCAGTGGCTATCTTTTCGCTGTGGTCCACCGGTGGGGTGTTTCTGAAATAATTGCTTTCAAACACTTCAATCGACTAGTAATGCAAGCTATGTGACGTAATTTTGAGCACGCGCACTCGTTAATCTTAGCAACAAAAGCCCGGACGCCAGGCATTGCAGTCTCCGTAGACCGCGCGTTGTAGGCCCAGCAGCTAATACGGAGTCGTGGCCAAAGGGTGGACGAAAATGATGACGCTTCTGAAAGAAGTACCTTCCAGCGCTTCAGGACATAAAATCTTACATTTAGTAGGCAGTCTGGGTGCATATTTTACGCGTGCGATTTTTAGACTGATGATAAGAGCGAACTGACCCTTAAAGCATAGCGAACTGGTGCTGGAATCTCGTGGTGGAACTGAAAAAGCAAAGGCAGAATCTTTAAATTTCGTGTTTCTGTAACTATTAAGCTGTCCAGAAGACAGATTAACACGACACCCGCCGTCTGGTGACGTTTGCAGCGGTCGACGCCGTTCGGTTTTACGGAAGCTGCAACCCAGGCCATCGCTGTTCTTGCTCTCGAGGTTGCGGGCTGGCATGTTCAAAACTTTTGATAATTTGTTTCACTAATTCGTCCTGAAAAATGTATGTTCTCAGAAAAACATGGGACGGCCTCGCTGTTTAAAAAAATATGTCGACCCACTCCATTAAACACCAATGAGACCCCCTACTCTATTCAACAATAATGGGACCCCACTCTACTCAACAATAATGAGACCCCTTATTCCCACATTACCGGTTCCGATCAAGGGCTGAAGAGCCGCTCCGTCCCATCGCGAAGTGTCGTCTGGCTGTCATTCCGGTGACACGGGGCGAGATCTCTTGGTCGATCCGGAGACCATTGGAGGATATGTCATGTCACGGTGTTCACCTTCCCTGACACGGGGGCGTTCTGACCCGCAGCTGGCCCCGGATCAGCACAGGCACCCTCACTGCCGTGACAACATCCCTGATCGCCGCAGGTAGTCCAATAATTGTTGCATACACTCAGGTTCCCTGTTTTTCCGTGTTTTTCAGAGATATTGAGGATTGTCTGAACGTAGATTGTAGATGAAATTGGGTCCTAAATTTGTATTACACTGATAAAAAACTATGCAATATGGTTTTTAACATGCGCGCTCGTAAGTCAAAGCTACAACAACCTCGACGCCCGGCGTTGCAGCCTCCGCAGGCTGCGTGGCATCGGCCTGCGGCTGCGACATTGAGCAATGGCCAATAAGCAAACGAAAACGTTGGCGCATCTTGGGGAAGATGGCTGGTGAACTAGGCATCGGCATGTATACTTAATATGGTGCAAAAGTAAGCTAAACGCAACCCCAATTTGAAAAGTGGGGGAGGGAACAGTTAACACCACTGCCCCCCTCCACCTTGAAAAGGGATGAGTAACTTATTTATTATATATTTTGGTGTCCATACATGGCTCTGTGCGACGCTCCGATAGTGGGAGGAACACTTCTGGCTAGCTGTTCATGGGTAGCGGTGAGAGAGAACAATCAGTTGCTTTTTTGTGTCCGTCTTGAGGATCCAACCATTGTTCATAGTCATACGCGCCGGCCGATGCATTACTTGCCTTGACTAGTAATGCAGTAATCTGGCTTTAAAATTAGCAGTTTTGGTAACACAATTGGTAACCGTACTTTTGGAACCACGCTCTCATAGAAAATTGAAACGAGCATCAGCGCGACGAAAAAGGCAGGTAGACGAACATTATTCAGCGGAAAAGAGCCCGGATTTCGGGGGACGGTTGCGGACGCAGCCGTGATGCGTTGCATCTCCACACCGCGCCAGAGACAGACTCTTGTCTAATGCTATGTTACAACCGCCAGTGAGCTTACGGTCACCGCCTCCCCTTTCCCCTCCCCCTCCCACTCCGTCTTCCCGCCGGAGGAGTGTGCCTGGCGGCGGCGCTCGCTACAACTCACGCCGCCGCGCCGCAAACAGACCCGCTGGCTCGGCGCGTGACACACTCCAATAATGGACCCCGCCGCCGGCGCCCGCCCGGACCACCCTGACCGCACTGCGTGACGACGTGCCGTGCCGTGACGCAGTGCGGCTGCCGTCACGGTCGGCCCTGGGGGAGTGCGCTTGGCGCGCGTGGGGGTGGTTACGCAATACGTGCGAGATCCTGCTCGTGGGAGAGCGCGATAACTCGGTGGAATGGCTTAGTTGGGGCACCGCTGTAGGGCTGCGGTACATTCAGTTTCTAAGGAATGTTTCACGCTTATAATTCGGACCAGTGGCCGAGATGACAAAGCGTGTCAGGTACAGCAGCTTGTTCGTACCGAAAGCCGTTCACTCAGTAAACGAAACTCAGGCTCAATGGGAAAAGCTCTCGCGCGTCTTGTTTGCCGGCCAGGACTGCCACGGCATGTTGGTGTTGTTAAGTACAGTTAAATGCTTAACATTACGGCCAGCCTGTGGCCCAGATGACCACCCATTGGTCAGCAGCTATGCATCTGTTCTGATCTACTCTATTCCGTTCTATTCTACTCCATTTTATTTGACTCATATCTCATTCTGGCTAGCTGTCGGCTTACGCGTCTATGCAACGACTGGGCGCGGGAGCCATTTTTGCGGGAGACGAAACGCTTCCGCTTCAAGACAGGGAGGCATGTGTGGCGGTGGTGATTTCGTGTTTAGGCCGCGTCAGCATCGGGGTCATTTTGCGCCCACAGGAATGCATGTGTCGATGCCTATATTGCATGCTGGTTATGAACCATTGCACATGTCCTCTATGACGCAAAAAGCCGGCGTGATCATCACGCCCTCGCCAGAAGCCAGCCGCTCTACGTTCGGTGAGGGATTCGGACTCGCTGATGGCCAACTGATGGGCTACCGATCAGCTGATATGCTATGCTCGGACGTATGCCATGTGCCTTGTGGTTCATACCGCGGGTCGGCTGATGGTGCGAAAAAAGGCTAAATATTGCCGTCAAAAGTTTTGAGTTACCCCTCGCATCGATCGTGCCCTTCATGTGAATACTCGACTTTTTAGTCAAGTCCAGCAAGCTGACTAGAACATTTCGGCTCCGCGGGTGCCTCATGATGGACCCCGCGGTAAAGCTCACTCGCTGTATGCGGCGTTAGACACAGCTGCAGCGTGAGGGGACTGGAAGCCCGTGATCCAACTGGTACTGGTCTCGGTTGAATGGTGTGAAGTAAAAAAGAGGGGGGGAAGCACAAACTGTCTGCCTTCGACATCTTCGGTTGGGGTGCGGGGGGGGGGGGGAAGAGAAAGGATATGGGGGACGGGAGGGGAGGCAGGAAGAAGGAAGGGATGGGAAGAGAGGTCACGTGTTCACGGCCCAGCGCCCAAAGCTGAAGCTCGTCTGGTAGTTGGAAATGTGTGATCGTCTTCGCCGCCGACGGAGATGATCGCCACTCAACAATGACATATATCAGTGTGGTATGCGAATTGTGGAGTTCTCGCACACTTTTTTCAGTTTGAATATCCTCATGCACACCACCCACGTACAAAAAAGCTTTCAATGTCAACGTTTGTGGCTTTCCTGCTGCGATAAATTTCGTCCCTTTTTAAAAAGTCTCAGCACAGCCACACAGTCATCCACTGGGAGCTTTACCAGCGCATGAGTAGGCCACCTACCTTATTACTGAAGAGATCGGAGATGTTCTTTAGTAGAATTCCATTGAGCGGAATCCCAATAAGAGCGTAGAAAATGCACGCGATCCGTCCAAGCATAGTCGATGGTGCTATGTGGCCGTACCCTGCAACATGGACCAGGTCACCCATGCTTCTGACCCTGCTGCTCGGATGTGAAAGGCGAGGTCAAAAAACGACTAGGACGCGTTTCATCCACTGACTCATCCACACTCATCCACTACGACGAATAGCAATCTACTCATAGCAAAATCGAGATGTTGACGGTCCATGCAACACAAAACAACAAATGGTCCAACCCAAGGGTTATCCATTTTTGCTCTTATTTCGAAGCGGCACCAGATGCGATCACCTGCTGCCAGCTTCCACTCTCCAGCCCCGGGTCGCTTGTCGTACTGCGCTTTGTATTTTCTCATGCTCTCCGCCTGCTTTCTCTGAGCTCCTCGGAGAGTCGTTGAGAGAGTTCAAGGCTTTTTGTGGACGAAGTCGTCTTGGTACAAACTCATTCCGCCTCTAACTAGTTGAGAAATGGGGATGCTTGGATGGCGAAAAAATGAATAAAGAATGGGGTGCAGCCATGGGTACTGCACACCTCATTATTCAGAGAAAGATGATATCCGGAAGACGGTGTTTCCTGTCAGATTTATGAGGTTCGGACACGGAGCGCGGCCGTCGCTTAATATCCGGGTGTTTTCCTCCAACTTTACCCAAGGCCTCGTAGTAACATCCAACAAGAAACCGTGCTCGAACACCAAAATGCTCTCACAGCAGCTGGACCCCCCGGGGTCTTTTTCAGCAGATTTGTCTCCGCGTCACTCTACACTAATTGGCGGGCCAGATGCCAACAAGTGATGCTCTAACTTTTCCAGGATGCCGTCAGACTACCCAGAATGAAGCAAATTACAGAAGAAGCCAAGAAAGAAGCCAGAACATTTATCCACACAGGTCTGCAGGTGGCATCGCCCTGTCACCGAACTCCGAAGCATGGTAAGCATGTCTGTGACGGGGGTCTCATTCCGATAGCTGGCTTGCTGGGGAAGAAGTGGCGAATTCTGCAGCCTGGTGCTCTTCCTTTGACTGCACCGTTTGCAGATATGAACATAGTCCTCACTGTCTCTATTCAGCCCTGGATACCAAACATATCTGCTCAACTGCTCATGCAGTTTAACCCCGTCCCCGTGAGCGTGATGGGATGCATCATGGTGGCTGAAGAGGAGCTCAGAACGCTTAGCAGCGAGCCACACAATCAAATCAGCACCTGTCGGCTGAGCCTTTCGGAGCATGATCCCGTGCCTCAGGCAAAACCGATCGGGCTGATCTCGTTTCAGATATGGAAGAGCCAAGAGCGGCCATCGCCCGAGGCTTCTGCAATCGGCGATCGCTTACGATTACGGTCATGTTTCTGCTAACCACACAAGCGAATCCGGCTCGAGAGAATGCCGTACGAGGAAGTCTGCGCCTGTCAAATTGACCTCCCGAGCCCATGAATTGGTATCATGTGCACTGTCCTTTAGCCACGCAAGTGAAACGACTGTTCAATCACCTGTGCCAGTCAACACCGACTGCTACTTTCGGTATCTTCACCCTTCATAGTGTTCTGGTTGAACACTACGGACGCCGGTATCTGCGTCGTAGCCGCTTCCACCGGTGTAGCGAGCCACCGATCCCGCCGCGCGGAACTCCGCCAGCACCACACATTTCCCGAATGCCCCGCCAGGGGCGCCAGCATCGGCCAGGTGCCCGGCACCGCCCGGTCTGGCAGCGGTGCATGTTGCGCCAAGTTACAGACTTCGTGCCAGTGGGACAGCATATGTACATGCTGCGTCTGCGCGGCGGGCCTATGCGCCACGGAGTAACAGTAGTCACTGACGAGCGTCTTCCAGCGTGCCATCCTCGGGTTGATGTGATCGCGACTGTGTGAAATTTGGAGAGCGCTATTGCAGTCACAAACCCATGCAAACGTGGCATCCACCATATACTTGTGCATTTCTTTAAGTCCTGAATGAGAGCATAAACTTCTAGTTCAGAAATCGTCCACTTCTTTTAACCCGGGCATATTTGCTACCGTTATAAGTAATTTTGCGCTCCACCTCATACTTTTTGAGACAAAAAACAATTGACCCGGCCCCGTGAAACTAGTATCTGTACATAACATGAATGGAAAGTTTCTGCGCGGATAACTGGGAATTTTGGCCCGATCATCTTTGCATGAAGGTGGGAAAAACCCTGGTTCGGTTCCTCCCCCCCCGAAAAAAATTATCGGAGTTGCACAGAATGACCGAGGGGTCTGCAACAGCGCTGAAAGACGGGAGAAAGTTGCAGAACCATAAAAAGAAGCGAAACACCCTCTTAGCTTTTTCCACAGACGTAGGTGGCTTCATGCCGGCAATTATCTGAATACGATCTGGATCAATAGAAACCCCATAAGGAGTGTTCTGATGACCAAGGTATTTCAAGGTTGTCTGAAAAGGACGACATTCATCCGGAGTGACTTTGAACTCGGCACCGCTGAGTCTCTCCAGAAACTGTCCAAAAGCGTGCACGTGTACATCATCCAAGTCCCTGAGGACCTTTCGCATGACTCGGTGATAAAAGTACAATAGTTAAGCACCTCATGGAAATTCGCCGAGGGTAAAATGTCTTTCCCAGCGCGTGAAATGCGCAAATTTTACCCAATTCCTTCGAAAGCTGTAGATTCAAAAACACGTACTCAACGTTAAGTGTTGAAGCGATCCTTCACCCGTGCAGAGAAAAGATAAACTCATCAACCATAGGGAAGGCAAACTGCTTCGGAACGAGAGGCTCATTCAACGGTCTTATGCCCTGAACATTCCGATACTCATCAGAGCACTTTGGATTCAAAATGATGGAAGAGTTCCGATCGGAGGTTTCAACTTCCACATGCCTGCAGATAATCAAACTGCGACCTCAGTTGACCTTCAAGGACCCATGGGATTGGGTATGGCCGTATGAACTGAGGCTGTGCTCCCTCCCGCAGCTCCAAGCTGATATCACCACCGTTATACAGGGCTATCCCTGAAAAGCCGTGAGAAACAGCTTTAGAAATGAACTGATCAACACCACCAATTTATTTCGCTTAGAGCCAGCGATAAGGAGCCAACCACAGACTCTGATAACTTCTCATTGGTGTTTTTTCTCTGTGACGTCATTGGCGATTCCCCAGCAGGCTCGGGCTGGCGCGTCTCAACACTGTCAATCCGCTCTGCATAGCTAATGACGCGTCGCCTATGCATGGTGACCAGGCGCTCAGATCGGTTACGAATGTACATTGAGATCTCTGTTGACGCAAACGGTGCTGTCAGCGAATCGCATGTTTCAACGGTTCTTGAGCGTTGTTGCAAACTCTCGCGACAAAGGCTTGTCAACCTTGACCGCCAAACACACAGCTGACTGTGGAGGGACAGATACGGCCTTTTTTTCTTTTTTATAAATTTGGTCTGAATCCTTTGAATGAATGGATTTCTGGGATCAGCGCTCACGCTAAGCAGTGCTTGTTGTGTGAGCCCTGACCCCCACCATCCGATCGCGCAATTCCAGGCAACGGCAGAATTTAGTGGCGAAAGCTTTACGTGCCGCAATGCTCGGCACGGTCCGTCCTGCCCTCTGACGTGAAATGACCTTTAGCGCGACCGCTGCCACCGGCCGCAGGCCATACCTGCCAAAGGCAAATAGCGAGCGTCCTATAGCGACTCGAACCCATCCCGCCACGGGTGGGTGGGTCGGAATGCAGGCGCTCGAACCAACTGAGCCACCGGGACGGACAAGTTGCAGTCTTGAGTTGCAGTTTTAACTTAACACTAGTATTCACAGCACAATTCAACACAACATTGTTACTATGAAGAGAATCCCATCCCAAAATTAAATCGTGCAGAAGGTTATGTACCACAATGTACTCGGCTACAGCTAAAGGACACACCACTACAATACAGCTGTGTTTCCTTTCACCCCTACAGCCTCTATGTCGGAGGACAAGATGCCCAAAGCGTTTAAACGATGGCCCGACGCTGACAACAAACGGGCAGGCGGCTTGACCTGATTGTTAGGAGTAACAACACCAAAGATACGGCTATCAATAAGGCTGACTTAGCTGCCGGTGGCCAAAAGCGCTTTGCTTACCAAGAAGCTGTTAATGTTAACATGCGTCTTGGGGAGCGTTACCACTTCCACACACCCTTGCCAGCCTGCCCAACTGCCCGTTTGAGCCGTGCCTCTTGCCCGAAGCCCCAGCAGGACCAGCATTGAGGCGCCCGTCGACGTTCTCCGGTGGGTGGAGGCGGCCGTCCACCGTCGTCATCTGAATACCACCCGCCGTGGTCACGTGCCGCGCGCCGCCGCCCGCCCGGCGGATCAGCACGACGCGCGCCGCCGTCTGATGAGCAGCGTGGGCGATTTGATGGCTCCCCGCTGGGGTGGATAGGCTGGAGCGCAGGCCTTTTTCACGTGTACAGCCGGATAAAAAAAACTGTGTGCGCAAACGCCCTGCACGGGCCGCTCGATGAGAGCAGAGCACTTCAAAACAGACATTGTGCATTTCTGAGCAGTTCTTGGCTGAGCTTAAGCACGTAGCCGCCATCTTTGGTCGTCTGTCTTTCAGTAAGGAGGGCACATCCGTCAGGTCGGCACTGCCCTCCACGACCTGCAGAGCAAGCCCACGGCGCCTCAACGGCACGCTTCTGGAGAGCCGTTCGGTAGCCGTTCGGTAGCGATGCCGCCCAAAGCTGCCAGACATTGGCACTGGCGAATGACGCCATCGAATGGTACTGAATCACCGTAGATCGGAAAGTCAGCCAACGCAACACGAACCATGGCCGATGCAGGCGCAAAAGGAGTGGGTAGCTCGCCATCCATGGCCCAGAACCACTGCCCCGATACCACTGCCGCCATGTCACGGCCCAGCCCGGCCGACGGGCCAAGAGGCCCACATCCACCCGAGGACCACACGTAACCCGAACGAATTCTGTATTCAACTGCTCGCCAAACGCACGTTCCCTGCAGACATCGGCGGCCCCAAACACCTCAGGCAACTCCCACGTCACACGAGACAGAGGCGGATCCAGGGCGATGCAGGGCGTGACAGAGGCGGATCCAGGGTGGTGCAGGGCGCGACACAGCGACGTCCGACGCGCCGACCGCCGACCGCGCACGCTCCAGACACTGGGTTACGCTCAGCGTCACACTGGGTTACGCTCGGCGTCACACTGGGTTACGCTCAGTGTCACACTGGGTTACGCTCAGCGTCACACTGGGTTACGCTCAGTGTCACACTGGGTTACGCTCAGCGTCAGGGCCCCATCGGCATGGATGCATTGGCGTTGGCATTGGCGTTAGAGTTAACATCATCAGCAACATCGGATATTTTCATTCGCAATGGCATTCATATCAGCATGAGCATTGACGTTGACATTGATATTGACATTGACATTGGCATTAGCGCATTAGCGTTAGCAAGACGTTTGACGACAAAGCATATTCAGCATATGTCATGTCTGGAATCTGGACTTTGCAACACGCCGCCATTGAGGTTCGCACGGTCGCCGCCTGTTACTCTTTCAGGTGGGCTCAAATGAACTAAAGGTTCACTTAAATAGCCCAGCGCCGCTCAAAGCGTTTAGCATCAAAAGCCGGCGGAAAATTAAACAGGGTCCGACAGGGCCTTGAACGAGAGGCAAACGCAGCCTCTCAGCAAGGATTTCACAATGTCCTGCGCTTTCTTCAGTCGTTAGTGTTTGGCAATGTACAGTTATCATATTACAATAGTCTTATAATACCCTCAAACAACACCATACTGCGAAGCTGTCTGACGAGGAGTGACCGCCCATCGTGCTCCCCGGCAGGCCCGCTGCGGGTGAGCTACGCTCACACCACGGCGACACAGCCCGAGGGAAGAGTGACATGACCCTCGCCCAGTCAACATGACCCCTATTATGGCACGGCCCGCTCGGAGTCTGCTCGCGCAGGCGACGGGAGGACGTTCAACCGCGTCACCCCCTTCGCATCGCGTTGCCAATGACACTCTTGGCACGAGGGCAGGACGGCGAGAGGCGGTGCCGAAATAAACGCGAGTCTGGCGTCGGGGCGGGGTGCAAGTGCACGGTGTCGACTGAATCGAGTCGCGGGTGTGCCTGCCCGGCGTCAGATCAGATTGGAGAGGACCACATTCGAGGTGTGTCTCGTGCCGATATTGTTTGTCCTGACACACTTGATGCCGAACGCGTTGTTGCCGATGGCGAAAGACGTTTGCCACGACTTTTGTTCGGTCTTTAAAGATAATTACCATTTGAGTGATGCACTTAAGTTGACCGAGCGAAGTTAAACGCGCTCCGGACATATTTATCAAAATGAACAGCCCTGATTACAAATTTCCTTCATCCGCAATGTTTCACAACCTACTCGGTGATGTTCCTTGCTTACAGCCATCCTTCAGCGTCGCCGTCGCAGTGCGTGCCGGACCCCCAAAAATCTCGACAATCTCTACTCCCCGATAAGCACAGATTCGCACGCGGACAGCGCGCGATCATCTAATAGCGCGCCATAAAGCCGCGCAAGCCCGCTTGTTCACGTTGGAAGGGCTCGCGTCGCGGCACTCGACGCTGGCTGATCACTCTCCTGCGCCAGGGGGACGCGATACCACTTATCTCGGCTGGATCTGACGCAAGGAGGGAGCGCCGGAGCGTCGCAATCTTTACCATTCTTTACTGCCGTAATTTGCCGCCACTCCCTGACTGTACTCCGGTAAACACACAAGATATGTGCACAACAGATTTCTGGTAACGCGCCGCTAAAATCACTGATCCGAGGATCAACAGCCGCCAGCTTTTCTGAACCTCGCAGCAGCAAAACTAGTTTTCACGTATCATATATATATATATATATATATATATATATATATTTATATATATATACATGCTATATACATGCTATATATATATATATATATATATATATATAATTGTTGATATACCTATATATAATGTACAAGTATATTTTAAAACTTCTTTTGGTGCGGAGAATACAAATGAAGCATGGCTTATGAAATAAGACAGAATCCCATTTCCACTTTGATAATATAAACACACTCATATTGGGAGCACTACAAAGACGCAAACATATTGCGACAATCACATCAGTAGTGCTCACCGCCCACCACCTAATAGTTGTACAAAAATTTGTGGATCTGATTGGGGCTGGAGAGAGTTCGTTAATGAACATACTATCCCAAATTTGAAGGCGTCTTGTCATTGCACGACCGTAAAAGTCAGTGTTGTGTGTCAGTTGCTGTGTCGCTGCCCTGTCGAGTTTGTGTTGCATGTGGTCCAGACGTGCCCCGTCACGTAAGTGCATTGTCAGGTGTCGTGAGTGTCGTTGTGGTCACACCAATAAAGTGTATGGAACGAAGTTTGTAACCTTCGATGTTGCATTCGAATTGTTACGCTCTATTGGTGCATTTCAGTTCGTGGGGCTTCCCTGGGATGTTTCTCATAAGAAAGCTAGAGATCTTATTGTGATAATGAATGACAACGTCTATTTTGTGGTCCTTCTCGCCTTTTACATGTCGAGAAATGATTTCCCGTAGAGCTTTTTCGTCTTGTTTGAGGGCAAATACCATTTGGTTTTGACAATACAGTTTTGACGATTGGTTGGTTGTCTTATCTTGGTTTGCTGTCAGTGTCTTGTCACACGTCGTTGTATTTCGTTCTCAACGTCAGAATTTGAAAAACCGCTGTTCACCAAGATCTGTCTGATTCTTGCCAATTCTGAATGAAGTCCTGTCCAATCAGAGCAGGGATCAAATGCTCGTCCAATGAATGACCTTATGGCGCTAATTTTGTAGCCTCGAGGGCACTCACTATCAGCATTTAAGCGCCGTCCGTTGTTAGCCTGTTTCGGTATACAGTCGTTTTGAATTGTTGTCGTCCACCAACAGTCACGTGAAGAAAGTTGTCGTCCACCAACAGTCACGTGAAGAAAGGACACGATATTTTGCACACTTAGCTATTTTGTGAATTTTAAACCAGACTCCTTTTCAAGCGCTTTTTGAGACGTTCTAGTTAGTCAATGACCGTAACTCCCACAAATATATCGTCTACATAGCGACAGTAATGTCCGGTCTTATGTTCTCATTTTGTAGTTTGTCGGCTTCAAACTTCTTCGACCGCTGTTCTGGCGTCTGCAAACTTCGTTCCACACACTTTATTGGTGTGATCACAACTACACTCTCACGACGCCTGGCAATGCACTTACATGACGGGGCACCTCGGGACAACAAGCAATACGAACACGACAGGACATTGACACCACAGCTGGCAGACGACACTAACGTTTTACGGACGTTACCATCGGAGACTATAAGGCCTGTCAGAACCGCAACATACCGATACCGATGCCCGCTCCCTATAAACAGCATTTTTAACGCAAACAAGCTTATATCCAAAGCCACGTTGGAACACGTCAGCCAGCGGATCCTCAGAAGTGACTCCGTAGAATATAGGTGCAGTTGACAGAAAGCACTAACTGCGAGCGTTGAAAATCGCTTCGCAGCGTAGGTATTATGTTGCGCTGCGTCTGTCGCCCAGGCCATCAGGAAGCCTGCGGAGGGGGGTATTGGATAGCGGCCGGTACTAGCTCTTTAGAGGTTAAAAGCTGTAAACCGCACACTGACCAGCCATTTCAAATAACTTCAACAGGATATGGATAAAACCTGGGCATTATCTGTTTTTGCTAGTGGATAATTCTCAGGGATATTGATTATTTCGCCAGCTTTGCAGCCCTCGTAAGTGCCCCGTCAGCAGCCTGCCAACGCATGCTGGCCTAATCGAAATCCTGAAAAAGGCCTAATCGAAATCCTTGGATGCTGAAAAAGTTCTTGGCAGTTACCAGACCATTTGCCAGATCGAGAAATCCTGCAGCGACGTGCACCGCGGTCGTCGAGATTAGCACAAGTCGTTACAATTTCTGCGCAGTATGCAGTCGAGTGTGTCGCCAGTGAAGTTGTATTATGCCAATATGCTAAGGCAGGTCCGACGTATACTACTCGTGTCACAGACTGTCTGCCAGCCCTTAAGAATTGCCAGCTGGTCCGTGCTTGCATATAATTTGACTACGCAAATAGTGAACCTTGGGACTCTGTGAAGTAAATGGATTGCTTTAATTTAGCGGAACGTTAGTCATCGAGCTACACCATGATCCACCAACGCCATCACAACTTCTTCCGGTGGGTGTAATCACAACTGAGTGCAGATAGATCAAACGCCAGGTTGACATACAGCCCTGTGCAGTCTACAAACAGTGACCGACGCAGATAAGTTACGGCCTTGTCTATTGCGTGCCGGTCCAGCAGGCTGCTGCTAATACCGATCAGAGTGCGCGAATGTTCATCGAAGAGCGCATAAGTGTATTTGTATCAAAAACATTAGCACTTACATCATTGCGCATGTGGCAATCAAACTGCTGCTGCCTGGGATTCGTTATGGGGCTCAAGACACTCTTGATCATAAATTGTTATTCCGAGCCACAAGCCACGCGATGCATCCCAAATCCCCGTTTCACTGTCACATGGTGATGATGATGACAAATGATGACAATCTGCAGCGGTCGTGGGGTGTACGTTCCCTGCGCCGCAGGCTCACCTATGACAATATCATGACGACTGCGGTGGCGGCTGCTGAGACGTAACGCTGGCACAGCGCCGCGTTTGTGTCGCCTGTGTCGTGTGTCTTGTCTTGTGTCATGGAAGTGACCAGCCTTGACAGATGACGGCAGTGAGTCATCTCGCCGCAAGGCTCCACATCCATCTCTCGGTGTGGTGGTGTGAGTCTACCGACTCGCGGTGCAGCTTCTGTGCTCTTATGACTGTGATGGCCGGTGACGACCGCGGATGGCCAGAATGCGGAGCCTCCGCCCGGCTCACCTATGATGTTGATGGCCGATGATGAGGTGAAGTAACCGATGATGATTGACGTTGCCACGCTGACGCGGGTTCCAATATGCCTCACCTGTGGTGGTGACAAAGTGCTTCCCTGCGACCGTGAGGTGCACTCACTGCCTCATCTATGGTGGTGACGACGGTGAAGCAGAAGAAGAAGCTGTTGTACTCGGTCCAGACGGTGGCCGGCGGTCGGCTGGTGTTCGTGATGTCCACGCGGCACTCTCCAGATATCCTGTCGAGCAGCTCCGCCCGACGGGTCATCGTGCTTCGGTTCTCCCCCTCTATCAGCTCCTCTGGCCGAAGACGAGTCGAGCGTGAGGTCACAGGGGTCATGACGATATCCGTCACAGGAGAAGAGTCTCAGGTCATCCAGACATAGCTGCGCGGAGGTGAGGGCATCGATTTCTGAAAGCCTCGGCAAAGGGAGAGCATCATCAGGCCAGTTGGTGAAAACAAAGTAAGAAAATAAATCACGTGTGAGGATGGGTGGAAAAATCTCAGCTCTGCTAGCACGGCATAAGGCCATTTGATAAGTGGCATCAGGGGTCGTGGAGCATGGGTCAAGGAAAAACAACGGCAGGTATCAAGTCACACGGCATCAGCGTTCTTCTGTGCCTCCAGCGTTCTCCTGTGCCTCAAGCACTCTCCTGCGTCTCAAGCGTTCTCCTGTGTCTCCAGCATTCTCCTGTGTGTCTCTAGTGTTCTCCATCTCCTGCGTTCTCCCATGTCTTCAGTGTCAGGTTGTTAGGTCATTAAGGCACGTGGCAGCAGCGGGCGGCGTCAGAACGAGCAGCTGTAATATAAGCCGAGGGGGTACCTAACAACAGCACGCGTTGCTGCTGACAGGCCATCGCTGAAACGTAACGTAACGTAACGCAAACGTAGCGCTGAAACAATCATGCGGAGGGCGCTTCGAGGGCAGACGTGACGAGAGACAGACGATGACAATGACAATGACAATGACAATGACAATGACAATGACAATGCAGTCAGCTAGTAAATGCACTGACGTAGTGACGAGGGATGCATTTCCTCGAGCCTTTCAGCACCGAACATCGATGGCCCTACTGTCGGTGTTCTTGCTGGTGTATAGTTTTGCGTGGTTTGTGTTGGCATAAACGTAACCCAAGGAAGTGACAGGCAAAAACCACGACCAATCCGAAGTGCTCAGTCTATACCTTATTGTTTAAGATTGCAGACAAATTGCGGATCATTAAGTTATCTCGGTGCCAGCTCACATATCAGAATAGTTCATAACATGACCACACCTTCAAGACACGATAAATGTGTTTTTGTTTGCCATTCAACGCCGGCACAAGACCGTATCTGGTCATTGCGGGCCTACAGATTTCGAGGGGCCGTCAAGATAGCAGTAAACGTGAGGGTGTTGAACGTGTATCTTACACCAACAAACTACGGTGAGATTGCATCAACAGTGTGCACCAGGGCAATAGCAGCATCATAGACGTGCATTGTATAACGATTATCTCGCGTGCGTCACGCGCCGGTCAAGTTTAAATGGCGCGAGGATCGCACCGCATGTGATCTAGTTACTGCCGATGCTTCTCTTGAGGTGGAGTACCAAGTGTTCTACCCTGGATCTCACCTCTCACTCAGACCCCGGCTATAATTCTTGAACCTATTCACCCCGGCTATAATTTTTGAACCTATTTACTCCGGATATAATTTTTGAACCGCGTGCGTTTTACTCTGGATTCGACCCTCAAACTGGAGAATCTCTCGTCTTACCCTGGATGTCCTTCCTGAGCTGAAGCACGCGCTGCACCTGGTCCTTCTCCTGCTCTCTCTCCAGGAAGTAGAACGACGCCGCGCCGACCAGCAGGAACAGCACGTAGGCCAGCAACAGCAGCAGCCACTCGTGCAGCTTCATCGTCAGCTCGGCTCCTCCTCCTGAGGTCACAGGTGGAGGCGAGGTTAGCGGTGCAGGTCACGTCACGTGGATGCGCGTACCAATGCGAGGCGCCCGCTGTTGTGTCGGAAACAAGGTGAAATGCATTGAGCGGAGCATGCATTATGTAAATGTCTAGATTATGACTGCTAGCCGATATTACTTGTGTACCTGTACTTCTATATGTATTGTTATCACAAAAACAAGTACATCGTAGCACTGTTGAATAACTTCACAAGCAAACACTCGTAAACACAAACACAAGTTAACTCTCTCACTCTCGAATCAGTGGTACATTCCTCAATCTTCTTTGGTCTCACTCTTGTATCAGTGGTGCATTCCTCAACCTTCATTGGTCTCACTCTCGTATCAGTAGTGCATTCCTCAACCTTCTTTGGTATTATGAAATTAAACATTTCATGTTTTAACATAATTCCAGATTAACATAATTCCAGAGAAGATATGACTTTTGAGACGCTTCCAAACAGCCTTTCTGATGAAGGTCCAGCTGATACCGGTGGAAAAAGATGCTTCCATGAATGGTATAAGTAAAACAAATGAACATGTTTTGGTTTGATTCTTATCAATGACTTTATGGAACTGAAAACAAAGCTCATTTCGTCCGCCGCGTACTACACACAATTTGTTTACATGCATTCAGCAATATCTTCTGTCAGGGCGATCACCACATTTGGACGCTTTTCCGATGATTGTACTTGTACAACAACGGGCTATGTTGTGTACGACAGGCGGCATGGGATACCCCAAATGAAAACGTTACGTAAGTTGTTCAGTGCATTAGCGAGGAGCATTAATCACATAGATAAGACAGTAGTATTAGCCTCATTCCTCGGATAAAAACCAGGAGAATGGAGAAATAGTTGGGTTGATATTTCGGCAACATGTCGTTATCGAAACAAAAGCAGAAGTGAATTTAAAATTACCTGTCGCTGATGCTACTCGCCATTCAGGTTTTTATAAAGCCAGCGACAGTTTTTACAGGACACCAACATTCAGCGGATTGAACAAAGAGCGATTGCCAGCCATCATCACGATACAGCGCCTACCTAGGCATTAGAATACGCGAACATCCGTGTACATACAAAAGAATTCAAGCAAATAGGCATCACGCATCACGCTTCATTCAGTTATGCGAGCGACTGAATACTACTTTAACTCGCTCACTTCAAACGCTATTTCCTTGAATTCGTTTGCATGCACACGTATGTTCGCGTATTTTAGTTCTTAGATAGGCACTGTATCGTGGTAATGGCTGGCAATCGCTCTTTGCTCAATCCACTGAATGTTGGTATCCTGTAAAAGCTGTCGCTTGCATTTCCAAGAAAAACCCTGAAAATCGGGTAGGATTATCGGCAAGCAATTTTGAATTCACTTCTGATATTGTTTCGATAAAGGCATGTTGCCACAATATCAACCCAACTTTATTTCCATTCTCCTGGTTTTTATCTGAGGAATGAGGCTATCACTATTGTATTATCTATGAAAAAATAATTATACAGCATTTGCTTTGAGTTATGCCCGCCCCTAGAACGCGATTAGATAAGAGTTCAGGTGCAATATCAGCCGCAACCCGAACACATGCTTACATAATCATTCCAGTAACACATGTTTATAAATTCGTTTCAGGGAGAACTCGGCGTTTGGAAGTCCGTGCATTTGTTGAACATTGGCCAGGAACGAAGCGAAGATTGAATCGAATCGGCGTGGAAAATGGGTTTAACGTGGGCATCACATGAGCTCGGGAGTTCAACTTAACACCAAAAATATATTCATGGCGACATTAGGGCTCGACCTGGGATGGTCCCCGAGTGACCCCATAGCAAATATCTGGGCACAAGATAACCCCAGCAGTCGGCTTCTTTTTAAACACCAATAGACCCCGATAAATATCTGGACCCGCTCAGGTTATGGTCCCAGCGCAATTTTACATTGTGGAATCTTACAAGAGACAGGATCTGAGCCGAATACTACTGAAGTCGACGACTTGTGACGTCATTTCGACCCAACCTGGGAATCCAGCCTTAGGTTTTGAAAGCAGGATGCAGCTAACATTTAATGAGTGATGCTAAGAGTTTTCAGCCCTTGGTCACCTTTAACTTCCCTGAGTTGTGAAGTGAGCCATTTGTTTTCTAAATCGCCCCATCGAATGATAGGTTTCAGGCTGTTAAAATATTACAGTTAAGGAGGTCAAAATTTAAAATGACGGTTCAAATACATTTCAAACTTAAAAATTCATTGATTTATGTTTCAAATTATTTGAAGCGTTCCGATCTTTATGTGTCGCGTACTCCGGCAATGAGCGCCAGCGTACCAGCAATTTTCCGTGGTCTGTTTGAAAAAAGCATATCATTTGAACTATGCATGAACTCGTTGCCATAACGTAAGTACCACAACAATAAAACAAGGATAAGACTTGAACGACAACCTACAAAGTACACAAATTTGGAAAAATAAAAGTTATCTGGAACTCCAATGTAGATGTGCGAATCAGCGTTGCTGAACAAATTCCAAGTTCGTTTCTGTCGACCCATTTATGGGTATGCATTTAAGAGGCAAGGGCTCAAAAAAGTGATTACAAACATAATGTGGTGTGCTTCCTGACAGTGAAAAATATGGAAATCGGTGGGTCGCTTGAAATTGAAGTGGTTGTTCAAGCTGTAAAATTTTGTTTCAAACACTTGAAAAGCCCGCTTCGGATGGGCCTGATCCTAAATACAGGTTCCCACTTAGGACCGACAGCACCCGGCTGGTGCGAGCACTAGCGCCGGCTCCGGTGCGCTCAGCCCAGTCCAGCATGTCCATGAGCGGGCAGAGAACTGGCCTCGTCCGGGGCGGCGGCTCCCAGTGCGGGGCCGAGAGCTCACTACCGACTGCCCGCGCTGTGGCAAGCCCCAGCTTTCTTTTTTTGGCATCTCTAGTTGGACCACTTTGCCCCCGGCTCTCCTCCCCAACTGCGGTCTGTTGAGGTAACTAGCTTCAATCTGCTGCATCCGGCCGTGATCGCAGTGCCCCAGGCACAACGCTTATTCGCTGCATTGCGGCGGCCCTGCCGCGCCCCGGGGTCTCGCGATGTTTCTGGCAGGAATCTGAGTGGTGCTTGTTAGTGTTTCTGGTGCGCGCATGCAGGACGCACGCGCACGCCCCACACCGCACAAGTGCATGTACGTGTGTGGTGTTACGCCTCTGACTTGTTGCCGGCCTTTCCCCTCCCAGTCGCTTTCTCAGCCTCCGCGTTAACGGTTCCCCAATTCGCTTTCCTTCGCCTGAGGCGAAACCCCAGAGGCTGGCTGCGTTGTCCAAAAGGCTTTGCAGATTCGTGGAGCCATCGCACGCTCTCTGAGCACGCCAGCGCTTTGCCGCCAGTCCTTCCCTTCCGCGCGGTCGGCTCTGCTGAGCCCGCCGGCTCCGTGGCCTCGTCACCGGGACGGCGTGACGTCACCACTGACGGCCGGGCCGGTCGCTGAGATCATCAGCTCCGCGTTAATCACGTCAGTTACAGTCGTCGCCAAGAATCTGATCCAGCGGGCACTGAAGTAAGCCAGCTGGGTTTCGGTCCCTAAAATAAATTTTGTCCGACAATTGAAGACATAGTTATTTCGTACGTACCGCAAACTTTAACGTGTCACACATCTTTTATAAAAAGGGAAATTATTTCAGGGGGAATGGTCTGGAGCTTACAGGACGTCATGGCCAGATCAAGGAGCTTGTGGTACACGTTCATGTGCGATCATCATGTGCATCGACTGGCAGGAAAATAGAGATCGGTTTACATCTTTGGCGACTTCGTCAAAGTTATTCAGGTGTGCGGTTATAATCTAATTGGATGCCCGTCGTAAGAAACTAACTTATTGAGTTATTTGGTTTGCATGGCTCCTTTTCCTCGGTTTACATGCCGCAGCTTGTATTTTAGGCAGGTTTTGGAAAAGATGACATTGGCTTCTTGCCTGCTGATCACTGACTCATCTGCGGGTCAGTTCTGGTCAGTGTCATCGACGAGGACATTACTCCAATCGCCTGGCATTATCCGCTCGAGTATGACAAATGATAATAAACCAAGGTCGTTACAATTACTCTCATGTTACTGCTATCTATGGCTCTCTAGATCTGGACCTGGTCACGGGCCGCTTTCTTCAGCTTTTTCGCTTTTCACGTGCCCACGTTATGTGAATGATGAAGGTGAGCAAACCGCTCCAACATTGCAGCGTCACTATAAACAAAACGTGGAGAAATAAGAAATCAGCCCGCATTGCAAACCAATTCATGCAGTGCAGCTATAAAACAGGTGCGTTTTTTTGTCAACGAAACTGCAAGCGGGTGCGACAGGCGATTCCAACAATGTACGCTTCCAGTTGGTTAGCTTTGGCGGGTTTGACCGCACTGATGAAGATCATCTCATGCTCCTAGCAGGGCTCGCTCGGCGTCTCGCTTGGCTCGTAACCAAGCGTACCTTCCTTCCATGCACATGCAGTTCATCCACGCCAGGCCCTCTGAAGCTGAGTGGCTGACATGCAACACGATCCCGTCTGGCGGCCGTCCAAGTGGACCGGCACACTGGGGACTCACAACGCGATGTCGGCCGGGGCTCCCGCGTTCGTCTTGACAGGAGACACCGATTTACGGTCCCGTCGCAGAACAGAAGAACCGTTTCACCCACCGATCCGCCGGGCCGTAGGGGTGTTGGGGGAGGGGGGCGGGGGCGAAACAAAGACAGGTAGCTGGTGGAGCACCACGCGGCTGAGCGTGGGCCGGGGCAACTGAGTCTGCGGATCGAGAAGGGTGACGACAAAAACGTTCGTCTGGATACATACCCAGGGGAATAATGCTCGTCTGGAGGGCAGCGCGCCTGTGGTGGCACTCTACACCTTGAGTGCAGTCCTGGCCAGGCACCCAGGCGGGCACTCAGCAAGTCCGCTCTACTAGTGTTCACAACGGCCCTGTGTGTCCGGTCCCGTGTGCTTGAACCGTCCAAGCGGTAATGGTA